AGTGGCGCAGAGAACGTATGCGCGCATTGTTATGATTCAGGAGACGGGGTACACGGAGCCGCAGTTAGAGGCCCGACACAGCTGGAATCGTGGTTGGAAAGTTGCAGCTATACCAGCGCGCCAGACAGTAGGCTCAGTCCTTTCAGGTGGTGTTGCAGTCCTAGCTCGTGCTGGTCCGGGACTGCGCTTCCTTCAGGCTGACCAACTCATATACGATCGCCGGCTGCAGCGCGTCAATCTCGATCTCCCAGGCTGGCCAAGCTTGTCTCCTCTGAATATTGATTTACGCGGTTCGATCGTTTCCACAGGAGAGAACGCAGAGATCCTAGCAGCGGTTGGCCGGAGCCTCTCAAGCATGGCGACGCCTTGCATTATGGGCGGCGATTGGAACATGTCAGGGCAAGACCTAGAAGCTTCGGGGTTCTCTCGTACGTCGTCAGTAGCGCTTGCTATCCCAGATCAAGTTACCTTCCGAGGTGGCACAGAATGTTCGACACTCGAATGCTATCGCATGAGCGGCGCAGCGCAGAGAAGATTTCGAGGCGCGCAAGCGCGGAGTACATGGAACAAGAAAGCGCATCGACCAGATGAGCTCAAGATAGTCGACAACGGTTATGCGATCCGATGCTTTGTGTACATGGTGATGAAGCGACTCCCCTCGGCGCTACCAGCTGGGCCGCTCACGAAGCCGATCGAGCGGTCGATGCGCGCGGCGTTTCGTGGAGCCGCGCCCCCCGAGCCCATCGGCGCAGCGATTTTTTTCCGTAGCAACAGATATTATATGTCCAAGTTGTTCTGTTGTTTGCATTGTTCGGAACTTGTTGCGTCGCCGACCCGCTCCGACGTTGGGCATTCGACGCGCGCGGGCGTTCCGCGATGCTTCCCCGTGGCCCAGCTCGAGGCAAGCAACGCGTTGGGCAATTTCCCATTTTGAAATCGCGGCGGATCCTTGGGGGGGCTCTGCTAGGCAGTGCGTTGGCTGATCATGTTCGGATGGCGCAAGATCAAGAATGTGATGCAACGGTTGCATGGGCGTTCTTCATTCGCGTGCGCGGCAAGTTCGCAGTCGCGGTTGCAGAGTTTATCGCCAGCGATTCGTGCGCGGAGATCAAGAACAGCGGAGCATGCGGCAGGGGCATCGAGCCCAGGTGGTTCAACGCCGAGTGCCCCATGAACGATTAGAGCGACATCCAAGCCATCGGCCAAGGTTGGCAGTGGCCCAGAGATGGGACCATCGCGATCCAGTAGTTGATTGCCAGGCATGATAAGATGGAGGAATGTTCTGAAGAGATAGCGAATTTTCGGGTTACACGGCATCCTGGTTCAGGTCTCAGCCGCAGGTTGGACAGCGCGGCCACCCAGGCCCGTCACGGTGCGCCATCGGCATCCCGTTTGGCGACCCCACGGAGATCGCCAAGCAGGAGGTGGCCCTGTGCAGGAAGCTTCGGGGTGCAAGCGGCGCAGCATCATCGGCATGGACGCCGGACAGAAGCAGCTGCCCCCGGCTCAGTCCTGACGGCGCACGACGAATACCGAAGTCATTTCCAGCAAGCACGTCAGCAAGCCAGGACAATGTTCACCCTCGACACTCGGCGATGATATACGACCACGGATTGGAAGTTTTGTCCTCCATATGGGAAGCATCCGATGACATTGGTGTTCTCCCGAAGCAGCTGCGTTGGATTCAGATGCCTCTGGGGTGAACCGGGCGGAGGCAACAGCTTGATAATATTCTGCGTTGGCATGCGCAGAATATGGCAGCGAGCTCGGAGGCCAATGGTCAAACGTATGCATCTATGTCTCGATCGAGGATACTGGGGGCAGCAGAAGGCCGATCGACGGTCGATTGTTAATGGGCTCAAGCAGTCCGCTTCGAGGCTGACCAAGCGACGCGCAGATGCGGCATAGTGCTTCTAGCCGACTGGTCCATGTACTACGAGACGATGCCGCTAGACATTCTGAGCATCAATATCCCGCGGCATGGGGCTCCCAGGTGTTGGCTGACATTGGTACTCAACATGCGTCCGAGCCCACGAGTGATGCGGCTAGGCAGACACCACGTGGGCGACATATGATTTGCCAAACTAGGGCCCCCAGCAGGTGACGCGTGCGCCGATTTAGCCGCGAAAGTCAATTCAGGGGCACACTTTTGACACGATGGTTCAGAAGTCACCGACGGTAGACTTCTGGAACTACATAGATGACTCAGGCTTCCACAATACTTTGCCCCCCCCCCCCACTTGGATGAAGCGGGAGGTGCGGCGGCGCAGGCATCCAGCATTTGTTCGAGGCTAGCAAACCGATCAATGCGACGTTGAACGCAGACACGCTGGCCATCATATCGGTCCACGCGGCCCTGGCGACGGTAGTTGGTGATCAGCTCGAGCTTCCCAGGTCAGTCATCAAGACGAGTGTGTCACACTTGGGAGTGGACGAGTCTGCTGAAGCTGCGTGGAACCGACCTCGGGCCCGCCTGATGCAGCAACCTCGATTTGCAGCGATGAAACACAGTCCGAAAAGGTGCGAGCGTCGAGGGCAATGTTGGAAGGTCCTAAGGAGGCCCCCTTTTCGGATCATTCGCCGTCGGGGAGTTGCCCCTGCCAGCAGCTTTGGGGTCGAGGTCCAGGGGCTCTCCGAAGCTGGGTGGATTTCGCACCAGAGGCTCATGTGTAATTCGGACTGCCCCTTGCATGGATGGGGCCCCGTTCGCAGTCGCATTAGTTTTGAACGGTGACAGCGTCATGGGATTCGCAGCGGCGCCCGCAATCCAGAGGTGTGGGATGGTCTGGACAGCTGCGACTCGCCAAGAGCATGCCCTCATGAAGATGGGCGAACTTGTCCACCTCTGGGACCTCTGCCGGCCCGACTTGTGCAAATCATGGCGAGAATTCAAGGGCCCAGTGTCGCGTGCTCGTTTAAGCTTGGCCCGCGCGGGCTGGAACCATCGCGGCCCGCTCAAATGGGTGGGCCACAGTGACCTCGAAGTCGATTTGAGCCAGGGCCCGCCGTCCATTTTAAGGGCCAGCTAGAGCTAGGAGTGCAAGGGGAGCGCGAATTCCGTCTGGCGCAGAGGCCAGGGCGCACCCTTGGGACTCGCGCCACGCTGGACCTGGTCCGAAAAGCTGTCGGGCCGAAAGCCAAGCGCATCAGTAGTTGCCAGAAGTCTATGATGAGGAGCGGTGGCTGCCAAGGGTTGCGGCCCAACGATCGCGCCGAGAGGGCGGGGCATTTGCGCGGCGGGCTGTGCGAGTGTGGGGAGGGGGGCGCAATCCACCGAAGGGTCCATTGTTGTCAGCCACCGAGAGTTCTAGAAGTTAGAGAAGCAGCGGAAGTTTCGCCAGAGTTCATGCCAGCGACCCAAGCGGAGCCCGAACGCTTGGATTTCACAGCGGGCATTTTCACGCATCAAGGAATTGAGGTTTCGCGCCCTTCGGTCTCGCCAGAGGATGAGGTCTTGGATCAGCACGGCAAATCACTAGAGCTTGGCCCAGAAACGATAGCTTCGCTCACGAGTAATGCCCCGCTTCGCCTTGCCTCCGATGGATCAGGGAGCGAATCGCTGCTGAAACCGTTGGGGAGCTGCCTGGTCCATCGAAGTGTGCCCGACGAAGGGGGGATCCAGTAGCTCTGCTACGCGGGATCGCCCCTGGCACCCAGCCACAGACGCCCGCGATGGCAGAACGCGTAGGGGTTGCGATATGCGGCCAAGTCGCGGGCAGACCAGCGGAGCTAGCATCGGACTACAAGGCCGCGATCGCCATTGCCCAACAATCCATGTTTCGGCAGCTTGCGGCATCGAGCAAATTCGCAGGCGTCAGACTTTTTGTGCAGAGCTTGGAGGGCACACCGTTCACACGCACAGTTCGCCACGTGAAAGCTCACAGGTCCGAAGACGAGATGGCTCAGCTCGGGGCTTGACCGTCTCTTCGCCGTAGCCGACGCTGCCGTTGACAGGCGATCCTGCGCCCGATTTTGCTTTCCTCTTTAGCGTGAACCTCGCAGCCACCCGGGCACAGAGTTTCATGACATCCGTCGCGCATAATTACCCGTTGTTCCCCAACGAGGTAAGGTGGAAGAGGCCGACGCGTTTTCGGTCGGGCCGCCCAAGGTGGCAGACCAGCTGGCACTGCTGGCAGCAAGGAGACTTCGGGTTGCAGTGCATGCGCTGTCTGCTCGTGGCGGAAGGATCGCCAGACGGAGTCCCTTTTGATGGCCGTGGAGGCGTGTCCAGTCATAGCAGTAGGTTGTTCTCGAATCCCCTTGGCCACTCTCTTATCGCCACGATTGGGTTGGCTCGAGAAGCTGAGGGTGACGCTGCCGTGTGTACTGTTCGAGAGCAAGCCATTGTGTGCATGAAGTGTGGAGGATGGTCCCGAGCTAAGCTTGAGAAACTAGGGCGCCCCTGTCAGCCCCCGGCTCGTAAAGGCATACAGGTCTTGGCCATGGTTTCGCAAGGCAGATGCCCCAACCGTCGTGTGGCCCAGGCGCTGGACAAAGTGATCCACGTCTCAAGGCTGCGCCGAGTCCCAGCAGTGCACCTTGAGACTTGTACTGCCACGAATGTTCGTACGAGTCTTTCGGCTTCAGAGGCTGCCCCCCTCTTACGAGCAACGTATGAAAGCTCTGGTTGAGAGAACCCGAGTGCGGCAGAGCATTCGAGATGCTCAATACAGGGGGTAGTTTTCGGGTGCCGTTAGAGGGGATTTCCCTCTCTCACCCCCCCTCCCCGATTCGTATCCCAGTTTATTCATTTTACCTGATACTATTTCGTGCGATGCGCTCCCCCAGTGGGCATTCCATTCCTCCTTCGCCTACTCTTCCTCTTCCTCCTCGTCCTCCTCCTCCTCCTCCCGCCCCTCCTCCACCTCCTCCTCCTCCTCCTCCTCCTCATCCTCGCTCTCCTCCTCCTCCTCCCTCTCCTCCTCCTTCGCCTGCTCCTTCGCCAACTCCTCCGCATCGTCAACATCATCATATGATTCTCCCCTCCGCCTGCCGCCGAGACGTGTGCCTGCACGCCACGACGCGCGAGGGCGCGCCACCGCCCCCCCCCGCCGCCCACACCGCTTGGAGAAGGACGAGTGCTGTCGACGAGGGGAGCAGCAGGAGCGACGACGACGAGGAGCAGCGCGCCCTCCTCGTTGGCCTCCCTCCCTCCTCCTCGTGCCCCACCGCATTTGGGGCCTCTGGAGCCTCTGAGCGCGTGCCCCGCAGCGCAAGGCACACACACAGCAATACTCAGACGAGGACCTCCCCGACGTCCTCTTCGTGCACCTCCATTCCAAACACGAGGAGCACGGAGCCGAAACCGAGGAACTCCACCGCCCAAGCTGCGCTACACCACGGATTGGAGGAAGCACACGACGGCCGACCCACGGACAAACGACAGCACGAAATAACCACCAGCATCAGCTCGTACATGCCAGGACACTTAACGCAACCTCCCAGCAGCCAGGGCAAGTGCAGAGCATACAACACGGCAGCCGAAACTGTCTCTCCGAAGCCCGCGAAGTCTTCGGTTCCTTTGCATGCCGCCCCCGAGCCACGCAACAGACCACCACGGCGTAAGGAAGAAAATTGCGGTGAAATTGAACCACAGCCCAAGCCATGGAAATACAATGATTTGAAAAAGAATACGGCCTCTACCTTCAGGCGGTGTGCTACTAGGGCATGGGGCCCCTAGCACTCCGACCACCTGACAGGGCAGATACCCACCGTTCACAGTGAATTCCAGCAAGTACTTGAAGCCGACGGCGTCGATGGCCTCCGACACGTACAGCTTGTCAGCGATGCCCCAGGGCTATCACGTCCACGGCGGGAATCTCCGCGAGTTTTGTCTGATATTCTTCGTCCAACAGGGGCGCCTTGGTCTTGTACAGGCCCTTCGACTGAGACTTGAAGAGGTCCTTCATGGTCTCGGCGTCGTCTCCTTGCCCTGCGCCGCCACCAGGGAGGCCCATGGAGGCGAGGGGGGGAAGGAGGCCCCCCCAGGCACCGGCAAAATGCTGGTTTTTGCGCCGCGCGCCACCGCTAAAACGACGTGCCCGTCTCTTCCGCCCCGTCGCGCGCCCCGAAGGAGACCCGACGCGAGGGCGGCGCCACTGTGCCAGACAGGCTACAGGGCTCTCACCCCGTTTGAACCCCGTTCGGGGTGTCTAGCGGCGCTTGAGCCAACGGCTTGAGCCAAATGGCCACGGGCTTCCTCCTCCACCTCCTCCTCCTCCTCCTGCTCCTCCTCCTCCTCCTCCTGCTCCTCCCGCTCCTCCTCCCGACCTCAGGGGCGCCGTTTTGGGGGGTGACGTTTTCGTCGGCGGATCGGTGAACGTGCAGGTTCGCAGTGCTCGGTCTCTGTGGGCCCTCCTCGGGCCCCCGGGGCCGGCACACGTCGACCTGAAGTGAAAAAGCAATACAGAATGGACCCCGGGGGGGAGGGAGGACGTGGACGAGGAGAAACATGAGCATTGTCGACGAGAGGAGGCGGTGTTGGAGGAGGAGGAGGCGAAAACGGGGAAGGCGGGGAGGGGGGGATGGGAAGCAGGACGAGGAGGAGAGGCGAGGATCGCGGGCAGATGGTTTCGGACGTTTGTGGCCTTCAGGGTCTCCTGGGAGGTTTCCAGGAATTCCCAGAGGCCTCTTGAAGGCCTCCAGGGACCGCTGGAGTTCTGCGAGCAGAAGGTGCGCCGAGAGGGGGGTCGCTCAGAGGGGGGATATCGATCCCCCATCGCGAGTGTCCAGATCGATGTCCCCCTTCAGCCACCTGACCCCCCGTGGACCCTCCCCCTCCATGGAGAGGAGGGGTGGAGGGGGAGGGAGAGGAACAGGAGGAGAATTCGTCCCAAATCCGCCCGCAGGGGGGCACGCCCGACCCCTCCACTGCCATCCCTTCCTCCGTCTCGCCTTCTCACCTGCGCTGGAAAGCGTCGGGCGTGGCTGCTCCATGGCTCGAGCTGCTGTTCGCTCGATCTTGGATTCCTGCCCTCGTCCGCCTCGGCCTCCCTCTCCCCCAAGGGGCATGGCAAGAGAGGAACGAGGGGGCCCACGACGCGTGCTCTCGTGCGTGCTTCTGGGTGGCCGCCCGAGGTGGCTCCAGGAGAACAGCCTCCTCCTCCTCCTCCTCCTCTTCCTCCTCCTCCTCCTCCTCCTCCTCCTCCTCCTCCTCCTCCTCCACATCCTCCTAGCGGCCTGGGCTTCAGGGCTGCAGTCCTGCAGGAGGGTCGCGCACAGGCCGTGCGACGATCGCACTCGGCGCAGCGCGGAGCGCGAAGTCAGGCGAGCGACGCAAAAAAACGGTGTCGTCTGCGCCAACATTGGTGCGCAGGCTGCCCGCGTACGGTCGCGCGTGAGCGCCCTCGTCTCCACAGTGGCGTGCCGCGCGGGCAGCCCGCGTAAGCCACGGCGTAAGATCGCTCTGTCATCTCGCGTACATGCCGGTCGTTGAAAGTAGGTATTTTTGGGTTCCCGGATCCCAATCTTCTTCAAGCGCCTTCCTGCTTCAAGAGTCGATCTGCTTCCGTTGTGCTTCGTCATCCTCTGGGAGGGCCTGGGCCCAATCTGCTTCATCTCCGCCTGCCTACTTCATGCCGTGACCTGCTTCTTCCGAATGGCGTGTAAGACCCGGTTTCAGGGCTCGAGCTAAACGGTGTTCTGGCAATCTCGTAGACCGTTTCCGTTCTGACTTCGTTTTGCAGCAACTGTGGAACGAAGGCAGAAGTAGGGATGACGAAAACAACACGAAAAGGGAAAACACGGTTCAACTCGAGCCCCGCCCGGTTTTGATCGTCGCTCGGGTGACCCTCGCTCTCGCGCCTGCTCGGCACGACGCGCTGAGACCGCGCCCCCGAGCCCGGCATCGGGGCTCCGGGCTGCCTCGCCGGCCTGCCGGACCCCGCGAGGGCGGGGCGCCGCGCGGCCGGCCTGCACGGCACGGCATGTCGCCGGGGCCGCCGCCACGACACTTCGAGCTCGAGTCGGGCCTGTCCCTCTAACTCGGCACCTCGTCCTTTGAACCCCATCCCTCAGGTCCCCATCTTCGAGCCACCGAGAAGTGGCCATGGCCTGAAGTGGCCCCGGCTTCCTTCCCAGAGAGGCGCCGACGGCGTCCAGGGCATTCCCCACGAGGCCCAGGGGGCCCCAGACGCCCCAGAACGGCGCGAGAAGCCAGGAACACCCTGGGCCAGGACCACGTCTCGGCGGCGAGCGAGGGGAGAAAGCGAGAAGGGGCGGGCTTTCTCAGGAGTCTCGGAAGTCCCCAGCCTCTGAGAAGTTTTCGAAGCTTGCCCCGAAGACAGAAAAAACTTCTCAGGAGGCGCGAGGGCTTCTGAGAAGTCCCGCCGCCCTCTGAGAAGGCCTTCTCATTCCCCCCCCCTCGCTCGCCGCCAACTAACAGGAGAAAGATTAAAAGATTGTAAAAAACAGTCTGGGGACGATGGTTGGACTACATTTGATTTTTTGTATGTCTAGACTATGCTTAACTCTTCGCCACAAAATCCGCCTGCTAGGGGGACATGCCCGACCTAACGCCGAGCAAATTGCCTCTCGCCCAGGAAGGGGGTCCAGCGCCCATCAGAGAAGTCCGCGCGGACCTCGACAAGAACTTGTTCATGCCGTTCCTTGCTGCTCGATGTGCCGCCTGTCCCCGTGTCCGTCGCCGCTGATCCGAAAAATAATAAGTTTCCCCCCCCTCCCCCCCCCACACACCAGAGACAACGCTGTGGGTGATAGGCTTACGGGGGAACTGCATCGATGCCCAATCGCCCGTTCATGGCCGATCGTGGCCTGATTGCCCACCCCGCCCAGGAACCTCCGGAGTCGATATCATTCCTTATTCTTTGTCGATGTATCGTCAATTCAAGCTCGAGGATTCCCCCTTGGGCTGGCTCCCGAACAGCCCCCCCACCGCGACAGCCGCCAGTCGACGACATACATAATGCCGATTCAAGCTCAATGTCTCCCGCCAGGAGCCCGACCCCTCGCTGATGGTAAGTCGGGTCCAGGATCGGGATACATCTCTGCAAAGCGGTCCAGAACGCTCTCAGATTGGGTCAGAACGATCCGAGAAGGTCGCGGCTCCCGGTACATGCTCCAGAGTGGCCGGATCTCAGAGATCCCCAGTCTATCCCAATCCGTTCCTGGTTTTCGTTTCACCGATGTTCGGCGGTGAGCGAGGGGGGGGGAAATGAGAAGGATAAGGTTTTTTTCTCAGAAGGCGGAGGGAATTCTCAGAAGCCCTTGCGCCTTCTGTTTGTCATCGGGGAAGGCTTAGACAACTTCTCAGAGGGCCGGCGGACTTTTGAACCTTCTACGAATCAGGAGGGGAAAAAACACACAGACACAATTAATCGGCGATTCCCAGAAAATATAGGAAAACATGGGAAGTGGGGGGGAAGACAGAAACCCAGAAAATATAGGAAAATATGGGGAATCATTTTATTTGTTTGTATTTATTTGTGTGTCCCAGGGCCCCTTCAAAGAAGGCCTCTTCCTTCGCACTTCCCCCCCTCGCTCGCCGCCGACATGCAACGGCCCCCCTTCATGGGTCGGCGACTACAAAGGGTATGGTTGCGCCAGGGTGTGGTTTGCGATCGGCACCGTGGGGCCCGGGGGGTGCGGCGCTGCCCTCCTCGGGCCTCCTCCGGGGCGTGGCGCGGCGAGCTCTGCATCGAGGCCCCCGCCCGCCCCCCGAGGGTGCACCCCGAGGGTGCCCGCTGCAAGCCACACCCTTTGCCGAACGGGTCCTGCCTGCTTGGCATCGCTCGGACGTGCGCATCTTTTCTCGGCGAGGACCCTCGAGGACCAGCCCTGGAGCACCGAGCAAGAACGAACCAGCACGACACCGACAAAATGCACGGGAAAGGGACGTCCGAGCGACGGCAAGCCCGCAGTGCATCTTTTCTCGGCGAGGACCCTCGAGGACCAGCCCTGGAGCACCGAGCAAGAACGAACCCGCACGACACCGAAAAAATGCTCGGGAAAGGGACGTCCGAGCGACGGCAAGCCCGCAGTGCATCTTTTCTCGGCGAGGACCCTCGAAGACCATCCCTGGAGCATCGAGCAAGAACGAACCCGCACGACACCGACAAAATGCTCGGGAAAGGGACGTCCGAGCGACGGCAAGCCCGCAGTGCGCGAGCATCCCCGGGTGCCGGTTGGCCCAAGGAGGGCGCGCGCGCGCGCGGCGCGCGGCGCGGCGGGCGCGCGGCCAGGCGCCACGGCCCTCTCCCTGTGCCGCGGGGAGGCGGGGCCGCGCCGACGCCCCCCTTCCCTGTCGGAAATCCGGGAGGCCTCCTCCGCCTCCTCCTCCTCCTCCTCCTCCTCCTCCTCCTCCTCCTCCTCCTCCTCCTCCTCCTCTCGTCCCTCCTCCTCCTCCTTCTCTCGTCCATCCCTCCTCCTCCTCCTCCTCCTCCTCCTCCTCCTCCTCCTCGTCCCCTCCTCCTCCTCCTATCGTCCCTCCTCCTCCCTCCTCCTCCTCCTCCTCCTCCTCCTCTCGTCCATCCTCCTGGATCCTCCTCCTCCTCCTCCTCCTCCTCATCCTCCTTCTCTCGTCAATCCTCCTGGATCCTCCTCCTCCTCCTCCTCCTTCTTTCGTTCGTCCTCCTCCTCCTCCTCCTCGTCTCGTCCATCCGCCTCCTCCTGCCCCTCCTCCTCCTCTCGTCGATCCTCCTGCTCTTCCTCCTCCTGTTCCTCCTCTCGTAGCCCTCCTCCCTCTCCTTCCTCTTTTGCTTGTTGCATGTGAGTCCGAAGTCGGAGAGCACCACCTCTCCTGTGCACCCCAAGCTGGCTCTATTGGCAGGCCAGTCCTGGTCCCAGGTTTGTCAGAACGCCTTCTTTGCCAAGGCAGCACTCCGCCAGGATGGGGGTATGCGCCGATCCTGGAGCCAGAACTGGAGAACGAACGATAGAGAGAAAGAGAGAGAGAGAGGGCGAGAGAGAGCGAGAGACGAAACGAGAGAGAGAGGGAGGTACAACAGAAAGAGCATGGTGACTGCACACGAGTGCCCACACGCGCAATGATTGTGGATCAGGTTTAGATGCGGCAAACACGCGCGTGATGGCAACTTGACATATGCAAGTGCACGTGCCCATGTGCATACACTTACACATGTCGGCGATACCGCAGCCGCAGGAGCGGCGCAGCCCGAAACGCAGAGGCAGGTTAAGTAATCCTAGACGCTTCGCGTAACCACACCAGCTGGATCCGGTCCCAGATCCCGTGGTGCTCTTGGCGTCACGACTTCTCTTTCTGCTCGACATTTCCCCGTTGTTTGACCGACAATCGACAGGAGATGCCGACCTCCTGAAGCGGGCCTGTGTCGGATTGCCGACGAGCACAGGGTGCTATGTGAGTGAGCCCGCCTTTTCCATTCCTGTTCGTCCCCCCCGCACTACTGTCTTGTGCAGGCATGCGCCTAACGGCTTCATTTTTGGTCGGCTGTTGTGAGGACAGTCGGTCGACTGTTCTGGCCTGGTCTCTCTGCGTCCTGCTCTTCGTCCCCCTTCGCCGTCCCCTGCTGCTTTGCCCCAGCGGCTGCACGGGTACAGGCCCTGTGCGTGCTGCGGTTGGCAGCTTGTGGCAGTTTCGCTTGCGAGCTGGCGCCGTCAGGGCGACTCCTCGTTGGCCCTCGCTGTCATTCACTCTCTGCATGCGCACTTGCACGCCGGTCTGCTTAGCGCGGTCTCCAGCCGTTGGGCGGTGGTTCCGCCGCTTGGCCTGCGTCTCCAGCAGCTTGGCAGCCTTAAATATCTTGCACTGTGCCCCAGTTTGCTCGATTACCACGCCCTCTGGACTTCCTTGCGGGCCGCAGATCAAAAAAGTACCCCCACCAGCCCATCCAGAAACGATGCCCAGACGAGTGGCCCTGATCAGGGATGTTGAAGATAACGCAGTGCACCAAAAGGATGGGTAGGACGTCGTGCCCCAAGAGGAGGAAGATGGAGGCGGAATCGGAGGCGGAGCAGGAGGAGGAGGAGGAGGAGGAGAAGGAGGAGGAGGAGGGGGAGGAGGAGTACGGAGAAGGGGAGGAGGGAGGAGGGAGGAGGAGGAACAGGCGGATGAGGAAGAGGGTGAAAGGAGATGCAGGGCGAGTAAAAAAGTCAGAGGCCTCTATGATGCCTCTCGGAGTTGCATTATACTTCTCTCGAGAGCTTACTGGAGTCCCCTTGGGGCGTCTGGATGGTGTCTTGGCAGTCCCAGGGGCCTCTTGAAGCGTCTTGGGTGCCTTTTGGGGTGCCTCTTGGAGCCTCGTGGGGGTCCCTCGAGGGCCCCTTGGGGAAGCCTTGGGGGCCTCTTGGGACCCTCGTGGGGGCCTCGTGGGGGCCTCCTGGGGCCGTCGGCACCCTTGGGAGGCTCGGGGGCCATCTTTGGGCCAGCTTGGATGGGATCGGTCGAAGGGAGGGGGGCTCCCGAAAACATTCCCCCCCAGGAGGCCAAGAGGTGATCAGACAACCGTACACAAGCGAGGCTTGGTTTTCTCGCCGAGGCCTCTTGGGGCGTCGGGTGCTTCTGGAGAGGGCTTCTGGGGCCTCTCGGGGGTGGTTTCTTGGGAGCCTCTTGGGGGCATTTTGTGGGCCTCTTGGGGGCCTCCTAGGCACCTCTTGGGACCGCCTTGGGGCACCCTTGGGAGGTTCGGGGGCCATCTTCGGGTCATCTCAGAGGAGATCGGAGGAGCAGGTTCTTAATTTGGCTTCCCCCCAGGAGGCCAATATGATGACAACACCATCGTCCAATCAATGATGCTGGTCTTCTCGCAGAGGCCTCTTGGGGTTTGATGGGTACCGCTGGGCGGCTTCTTGGAGCGTCTTGGGGGCCTTGGCAGCCTCTTGGTGGAATCCTTGGATCCTCTTGGAGGCCTCCTGGGTCAGTCTTATGGCGCCCTTGGAAGCCTCGGGGGCCATCTTGGGGCCATCCTGGGTGGGATCGATCAAAGGTCGGGCCGTGGTACATTAGCCCCTCCCCTCCCCAGGATGCCAACATGTGGCCAATATTTTTCTATGACGCGGATGATCATGGATGATTCGCCGAGAACGTTTTGGGCGCTCTGACACCTCGGGGTCCCTCCTTTCAGGACCCAGGGGGAGAGTGGATGTGGAGGGGTCAAGACACCCTCCCCGCCCGCAAGCTGTCTCGCTCACCCCCGCCCGCCCTCCCAGCGCCTCAGCGTGTTCAGCGGTCGTCTATGGACGGACAGCTACTGGAAGCCAAAAGCAGACCCCATGTGCGCGATGCTGGGGCGAGGTGCGCCACGCGTGCGAGGCGCGCCAGGTGCGCCAGGCAACCCTGGGGCCCAAGCGTGCCTGGCACGCATGGTGCGCCAGATGCGCCACGTGCTCCACGTGCGTCATGTGTGCAACATGTTCCAGCCGCGCCATGTGCGCCGCGTTCTGGGCACGCGCAGAGTGTGCCAGTTGCGCACGTAACAGCGCACATCGTGGAACATGTCGCCCCCCACCCATTTCATCGAAAACCAGTGAAAAAAAACGCTAGGGGGTGGCCATCTTGACTTCTAGCGGGCCTGCGCACAGCAGGCCATGTGCCAGCACCCCCGCAAACCTTTTTCCACAGACAATGCAACGTGGCCGCGCATGATCAAGGTGTAGCCGCGAATGCATTCTGTGTTGTTTGTTGACGCGGATGGTGGCCCCGCGCACAGCAGGCAAGAAAATAACCCCCGCCGTCCCCGCGACAAAACAATACAAAGTGCTCGCGGGGCCCACGAGCATGATCCAAACAATTGTCCCGATGCGTATGTTGTTCTGTTATTCGACAGGGATGGTGTGGGGGGGGTCATTGGTCCTGGTTGGCTGCCAGTCACCTGGGGGAGGGGGGGTCTATTAATAGGCAGAGCAGTGATCAACCCCCTCCCCGAGGGTGGGCAGGGAAGATGCAAGAGGAAACGCTCTGAACCACTCACGCCCACCTGTGCTGGTGGGATGACCAACTCTCAGACGGACGTGCACCCTGCCCACCTCGGACGGGCCCCGGGCGAGGAGGCATCCGTTCCGGAGCGTTGCAGGACGCTCCCAGAGCGCTCTGGAACGCTCTGAGGAGGCCGCGGCGCCCGGTACATCCTCCAGATCCGCCGGATCTGAAAAGTTCCCGACCTGTCGACGTCAGAGTGTGCCTCGACCTGGCTTCCTATTACCATCGTTCCAGCCAGGGCCTCTCCCTGCCCCTCGGCCCCGCTCGGGGAGGAGGGCGCCTCGGCCCAGATCGTCCCTGGACTCTTTCAGGGCGCGTTGGAACCCTCTGCCCTGCAGCGGCCGCAGTGCCCAACACACATCCCCCAGACCCGCCTGCTCTCAGAAATCCCCGACCGCTCCGCACGCGAGTCTTTGTCCTCAGCCTGCCTCAGCATAGCACGGCGACGAGGAGGCGTACTCGTACTCATCGCCCGCCCTCCTCCCTCCTCGGCCTCCCTCCTCCCTGGCCCTCCCCAGCGTGCCATCCTTCTGCTCCTGCTTCAGCCCGCGGCCCCAGAGTTCCCGACGGCCCCCCCCGGGGGTAGGGTCTTGTGCTCCCCTTCCCTGACATCTGCCTGTCTGACTGTGCCAAGCCGCGGCCCCAGCGTGCCCGACCGCTTCCCGTAGGGTTTCGTCCCGCCGGTTTCGTCCCGGAGGAAGAGGGGGGAGGAGGAGGAGGAGGAGGAGGAGGAGGAGGAGGAGGAGGAGGAGGATTCGGATAGACGTGCGATTCTCCATTATGCATTTGTGTCAGATTTGGTCGGCCGACACTGTGTGTGTCTCAGGCTTGGGGAAAGGAAAGGAGGAGGAGGAGGAGGAGGAGGAGGAGGAGGAGGACCAGTGTAAACCAACGAGTCCTCAACGATGTTGGAGTTAACCCTCCATCCAGGCTCCCTCTTCATAAGCCCCCACAACGGGTCATTTCCATTGAGGGAGCTGCCTCGTTGAAAGACAACCGTTTGAAGATCTTGAGGCATGCCAAAACATTGTTCTCGGGATTTCAACGCCACGGATCAACCTCGCTGCTGCGTCTTGACGATCCGCAAACGCGCCAGAACGCCATTTTGGGATTTCAACACCGTGAATCAACAAATTGTTGCACCCGCATAATCCGTTTTTTTCCAAAACGCCATTTCTGGTAATGGTACGCTGATCATGGGAAGCCGCGGAACTTTTTGAAATTTACAGAAAAAAACGATTATGCGCGGCGCTAAGGCGAGAGTCATATTTTGAAAAGGAACCGCCCTCAATCCGTGAAACTCTTGCAAATGTTTTAAA